AAACAAACTGTAATTGTACTCACTATAAATAAAAGAGTGGGAGAGTTAAAGGCACAAGTTTCATTGAAAGACAAGGTTGAGTTCTGATTAAGGTTAACCAACACAATTATGAATTATGTCTGAGCATCAACAGATTATCAATAATTATCAGTGAAATAATTTACCTGGATCAACAGCCAAACAAACTCCCGTCCATATTATTGCGAAGATAGCTATCCGTTTGTAAAGTTCCATAATGGATTGTTTGGGGTACTCAAAATGATAGATAACGACGGACATACAATGCACAGATCTTTGTTGTACAGCAGAGCACATAATAACTTATCTTCGCCTTCATAATCATGTCGGACTGAATTTTGTAATATAGTGTAAATATTTGCTTCTACTTTTATGTAAAATGATTGTTTCATTTTCCATCGTTCTTCTGTCTGTTCGTGATTGATGGCTCATTCTACCATGCATGGAATTGTAGTAGCCACGTGAATGGTTTTGGTTTTTTCCCTGAGTGGTTCCTAATTATTGACATTCAATCAACTGGAAAGTGATTCTCTTGTGTTTATTGACATGCGATACCGAAATCTCCCTCCAGATATTATATTGGACTTCCTTAATGTCTGGTATATATTGATACTAAATGCACTTTTATGAAATGTTACATTATAGATATATGATCCTGTTTGCTCTATAGCTGGGAGCAGGCGCGCCGGAAATAGTTTGGGATGGGAGGAGGGGGGGGGGGCAAACATTCCAGGGGGCTCACCTTAAAGGGTGTAATGAGCAAAAACGTGCGAAAACATGCAGGCCCCGCGGAACGTTTTTCAAAGTGGAGCATTAACGATCAGGTAGATTGTAACGAGTGAAAAGAGTGGAGCGTAAATTGGCGTGGGGTCCAGGGGCGGAGCCCCTGGAAGATAAGGGGTTTTAGACATTAAATAACGGTCAGATATTAAGGCATATTTAGATACCTTATATGTATTTATGACACTGTCAGGTCAATTATTAGCGTGCGGTCCAGGCATTTAATTATGGTCAGATGAGCATTTAGGGTCCTGTCTAAGGGCCCCTGGTGAGGTCCGGGGGGGGGGGGTGGAGTCCCCGAAAGCTCAGAGGTTTTAGGGATTTAATTACGGTCAAATGAGCATATTTTGATACCTTATTTGTGACACTAACAGGTCACTAATTTGAGGGGGTCCAGGGGTCTGAGCCTCATGAAGCTCAGGGTTTTAGGCATTATATTACGGTCAGATGAGCAGCCACGAGCCCGCTTTAGGGCCTTTGGTGTTGTCTAGGGGGTAGCAGTGGCGGATCCAGGGGGGGGGGGGCCCGGGGGCCCGGCCCCCCCCCCCCCCCTTGAGAAAAAAATCATGTAAAATCACGTGATTTTTACCTTTTTTTGGGGTTGGGCCCCCTCCCCCCTGGCGCTCAAGGGGGGGGGGGTGCAAATTGAAATTTTTTTGAGGATCAAAAAAAAAAAAAATGTGCTCACTAAATGACAACGATTTTTTTTTCTTTATTAGATACAGAAATTTAAGAGTTTGCACGGCTTTCTAAAAGTGTAAAAACAAAATCCATACTTGCAGACTAGGCTTCTAGACTTCTCCCTCTCTTGTTCATGCTTTCTCTTGTCTTATTTCTCCTATGTCTTCCATTTAAAATCTTTCAAACCAAACAAACATATGTAGGACCTTCACTATAATCGATCATAGAACGAACTAATGTTTCATAGTCCATGTACAGCTCCTTGTCTCTCATAAAAAAACATTATTTTTCTTTTCTTCCGCTTTTTGAAAGAGCTGTAGAATCTAATATTTGTTAAAAGATTATTATGGACTAAAACACGCACATGAAGTCTCGTCACGTTTCCTGTTCGTTATTTTAGAGCGAAGTTTCTTTTGTATTCGTTCCACAGGCACAGCACTCAACGGCGAGGTGAGGTGAAAAAACCGCATCATGAACAAATCTTTTGTTCAATGATTTATCTTTTCTCTGCCCTATATACTAGTGAGCTCGATCTTAAGAAGACACAAAACATGTCACAATGATTGATTTCTTGTCCCCTTCTTTTATTCTTTCCTTTAACAAATACATGTTTCATAATCCATGTGGGTACTATGGTCTTTGTAATGCAATTCGGTCAGGTTTTAAAATTAGTATACATGTATTATTCCTAAGGTATTGAACCTATCATTCCCGAAGCCATGCACCTTGAGGTGAAAACATAAGTTGGTTGTTCACATATTTATCAGTCTTTTCTATAAAAAAAAAAACGAAATTAAAAGAATGTAAAGTTCTTAAAAAGTGGAGAGTTTATTGGATTTTCAAGATGCAGTCTACCTTGGGGTCCGTACTGTCTAATTCCATTTCAGTCAACAATAGATATCAACATGAGGTGGTTTCAAATCAAGATTATAAATAGAATATATATGGAGGACAGTTTGTTAATATTAGGTGTAGTGGCTGACAAGAAGTGTAATTTTGTAATAGCAATAATGAAACTATCATACATGTTTTCTTTGCTTTTGTAACTATTCGAATGAAGTATGGTCGAAATTTGAGTTCGTGATAGTTCGCAATACGGGAGAAAGGATCATACTTTCAAATCAAACTAAATTGTTTGGATTTTGCGGTAGCAATAATAATGCACTAAACTGTGTTCTAATAGTTGTAAGACAAGAAATATTTTCAGCCAAATTACAAAATCAACTACCTTCATTTGATATAATTTTATCAGCTGTAAAACGCTATTATGAAATGGAAAAATATATAAACCAAACAAATCTCAGAGAGAATAAATTGGAAAAAAAATGGTTTCACTTCAGAAAATATTTTGAGAGTGTTGGAAATGTGCAAACAGAAACATGATCAGGTATTTTTATGTTTGGTATTTTAAAATATTTAAAATAGTAATTTTGTCATAAATGCTTGTTTTTATCTGTCACAAAGTTTTCGGTCTTGATAATTATTATCTGTGTTAAGCCATTAGGTATGGAAATTATATGTTTAATTATTTGTATATAATATATGGATAAACTGTATATGATGGAATTTGTTTTGAAAATAATGAACCCTGTGGAAGGGGACAAAAATATTTATGTGAATGAATACATGACAGATACAACGCAAACTCATATGTTGTACTATAATACTCTCGTGCCCCTTTTAGATCATTACGTCAAATATTATGACTATCCAAGTCGACCAAAATGTTAGACCTAGCAAGGAATTTTTTACCAATCTTATCAAAATGTTTATAATTCCGTGTTCATTATGGTTTAATGCCCTCCACTTAAGTAGAATTTAAATGAGGAAGTCGCTCTTGCATGATATAACACAATGCAACCATGCAGCTTCCTTCGAAAGGAAACATCAACTTCCAGGACTACAGTTGTGAACTTGTGGGAGAGAAATTTGGAGTGTTCTGTATAGCTGTTTGATGTGTCGGTTTATTGAGGGGGGGGGGGTAGGTCACTTGGAGAAAAAACACCAATAAACACTGGTGGGAAGTAGTTTTTTTTTCCAAAAATTATTTTCATACTTAATATCTATTAGTATTACAGTTATACAATTTACATTTTTAAAAACCTACAGAAAAATTGAGCAAAATGTATAATCGCGGTAAGAGAGAGAGAGAAGAGTAAGCAATCGAGACAGCCAGATAACGGAAAGAGAAAATACAAATTGGAAAGGTGGAAAGTGAGAGAGAGAGAGAGAGAGAGAGAGAGAGAAAGAAAGAGGCGAAGAGAGAGGGAGAGAGACAGAGAGACAGAGCAAAAAGGGAGGGGGATTGTTGCGATGGAAAGAGTGGATGAGTGATATATAATTAATCAAAAAGTTCGACAGACAATGGAAATTTGAAAAGGACATGGTAATTCATATGCTTTAAATAATATTGTCTAACACTTAAAGCGTAAAATTAGTTTTCTTACCTCCCAGCTATAGAGCATTCTAAAAAGAAACTTTTCTAAACTTGTGCCCTTTACTCTCCCGCTCTTTTATATACAAGTACAACAGTTTGTGTCAGAAATTTGAAGTTTTCTGTGTAGCTGTTTAATACGTCGGGAAGGGGGGGGGGGGGGGGGAGGTCACTTGAAGAAGAAAAAACATAAACACTGTTGTGAAGTAAATCCTTTCCCCAAATTATTCTTATACTTAGTACTTATTGCTACAGTATGACATTTGTATTTTAAATTTGAATTTGTCTAAATGGCAATGACCAAAACATACCAACAAATTAACCAAATGTTTAATCACGTAAAGAGAGATATGAGTGAGAAAGTGAGACAACCAGATAACGGAAAGAAAGAATAACTTTTGGAAGGGTGGAAAGGGAGAAAGAGAGAGAGAAACAAAGACAAAAAAGGAGGGTTGTTAAGAGGGAGATAGTGGTTCTAGGACACCTACCCCCTGGACATCCACCCCGGATAACTACCTCCAGATAACTACCCCTGAGGGCAACCATCCTATAGGAAGACTACCCCCTAGTCGTCCAAGAGGTTGGTTGCCATAGGAGGTAGTTGTCCTAGGGGGTAGTTGACTGGGGGTGGTTATCCGGTGGTTGGATGTCCAGGAGGTATGTGTCCGGATAGGGGAAAGGTTGGATGATTGATATTCAATAATAAATCCAAGAGTTCGACAAGGCAGAGAATACCTATGTATATGGTGATTTTATATTGTCTAAAAATCTAGCACTTAAAACTTGGAAGTAGTATTTTACCCTCCCAGTAAAAATAGCATATATCCAACACGTACTTTTTTATTAAAGCGCTTTTTTTTTCAATGTACTCCTGAGCATAAGGAAATGGATTTTTTTTTAATTTTAAAGGAGGAAATTCCGGAATCGCATGTCAATAAAAACCAGGGGATCACTTTCCGGTTGGGTGAATGCCAATCAGTAGGGAATTTTTAAGTATAAAACAAAACAAAACAATCATGAACTTACTGCGATTCCATGAATTGTGGAGTAAACCACCAATCATGAACAGACAGAAAACTCCGAAAAATGAAACAATCTAGAGTTTCATTTTACATAAAAGCAGGAGCAAATATTTGCACTATTACAAATTCAGTCCGACATGATTATGAAGGCGAAGATAATGTATTGTGTGCTCTGCTGTACAACAAAGATATGTGCATTGTATGTCCGTCGTTATCTATCATTTTGAGTGACCAAAAACAAGCCATCATGGAACTTTACAAACGGATAGCTATCTTCGCGATAATATGTACAGGAGTTTGTTTGGCTGTTGATCCAGGTAAATAATCTCACTAATAATTATTTACACTCTGTTGATGCTCAGATATAATTCATAATTTTGTTGGTTAACCTAAATCAGAACTCAACTTTGTCTTTCAATGAAACCGATGAACCTATATATGTTTTTACCTATTCAGTGTTTTTTCAACGGTATTGATTAATTCCCCAATGCATTCTAAAAAGAAAAATAGTAAACTTGTGCTTTAAACTCTCCCTCACTTTTATTTACTGAAATAGTAATACAATTACAGTTTGTTTTAATCTAGATAAAAATATTGCTACAGTTTAATCCTATTAACCGAAACATTCATTAACGCCAGCCGAATAGGCCGACAGTCCACGAGATTGTAGATCTCATGAAAGCTTGAAAGGATTGCGAGGCCCACATGCCACTCTCTCCCGAGCTGTCGATCTCATGGGCTTTCGGTCTCGTGAAGCAATATTACATTTTCATAAATTCCCGCGAGAGCAAAATTGTCGGTCTCGTAGGCTGTCAGTAATGTGTGCCGCCGGGTTCATAAACCGTGAACTAAACTATGAGAAGGGCAGCGAAACTGAATTTTTTGGTTTGAAATCTGCCTTTAAAGGTAAAGACCAGTATTGGAAACGCCCCAATTAAAAAAAATGAAATGGAAGCTCTCATTACCAATCATGTGAAAGAATATGTTTTGACTAATACATGATGGTACAAAATTTGCCGGGAAACCGCCTACTAATTCATATATTTGGTAAATTTGTTTCTCCCATGGTCTGTGAGAGATATAGGGTAGTCCCATAAACATCTTTCTGTGTATAGTGCTTGTAACTTTACGAAGAATGGGCCAAATTTCTTATCATTTTGATGATTCCAGAACCTTGCAGATGCTAGATGCTAGATGATCAACCTTTTCTGATCGATTCTACAACGTTTCTTTCACAATGCAATCGCATGACCATAACTGGTCTTTACCTTTAAGTGCATGTAGCCTTTAATGCTTCTCCAATATTTGTTTAAGCATTTATTGCGTACATGTGTGTTTTACTATGGATCTCTGGTTTCACCTATTATTGACTTTAATCTTTTTCCTGACTCCATTTGATATTATTAGATTGGTCATGTGACTTTGAAGAGGACAAATGTGGAATCATTGGGGGAAAAGGGGACTGGACAATCGACAGAGGTACGTGGTAGACATTCAACTGAAACGTATTTGCCTCTTCCTAAAACCCATCTGTGACTGTTCGGTTTTTACAAACGACGAATACGGAACCAAATACGTAATATTATATCTGTTGAATTTTCTTGTTATTTTACAGTTTGTTTTACCAATCATCCCTCAGAAATATGAAGATGACCGTTGGCTTGAAGTTACGAGCAAAAAATAGCTGTCTCTATAAAACTCTCATACGAGGGGTCCTTGGTTCGGTCAGTGCTCACTGCTCAGTGCTTACATCCTTGGACAAGGTGTTTCACATACATTTGTCCCTCTCTACCAAGGTATAAATACAATGCCGTGGCAATGATAATTTAAAGGGTCCTCGATAAGATCAGTATTTAATCGGACCAAATTGATAACATTGTGTTTAACTACATTGAACAAAATCGCGATTATAAAACAAATAATAATAATGTATTTTCCTGTCGAATGGATACAGGGGCCTATTTGTAATTAAACTCCTTTTCTACAAACTATAAACAGGGGCTCTAAGGGCAGATGTGTCTCCAAGCAGGTCAGGTGACAAGTTCACATTTCCATCCCGCACAAATTCACATCACCGCGAGGATTTTTATCTTTTGGATACTTCCTTGAGGGTACTGATTCATCCATGTCGGTCAAGGTCTGCAGGGAAGCAAGGGGAGCTGCATTTACAGTTGTTGGTATGGGACGTGCGATGCTAGATATTGAAGTCGTTCCTTACTCATGTGCAAGCAAAATGGATGTTGAGGTTTGTAATGCAACGAATTATTTTCTAGCTTTCTTTGATATTCCTTCAAGCATGTTTCAAGCATGCTGTCCAATGTTCCATTACTAATTACTGGTGATTTTAACATTCAAGTTGATGTAAGCTCATTATAATCAAGGTCATTTAGATACCTCCTCGAATCACTCTGTTGTACTCAATTTGTAATTTTTAGTATTCATTTACATGGTCATACCCTTGACCTACTTATTTGTCGTGAGTCTGATGATATAATTGCTGGCCAACCATGGCCATGTGATTGCCTATTATCTGATCATATTCCTGTTATGTGCCATCTCAATGTAAACCATTATTGGCTGACAAACTTGTGCCGTATCGCAAATACTCCTGTATTAATACTAGAATGTTTAGTATAGATCTTGCAGAAAGTATACTCTGTCAAAATTTACATGTACCCAGTGATATTTTCGATCTGGCTTCCTTGTATGATATCATACTCAGAAAGGTCTTAGATAATCATGCTCCTTTAGTTTCAAAACGAGTAGTTGCCCGTCCTCATGTGCCATATGTACACGGACGAGGTTAGAGCAGCAAAGAAGCAAAGAAGCAAAGAAGAAAAGCACAGAAACGATGGTCTAGAACACGATCTGATCACGATCTGAATGAGTACAAGAAAACTCGCAATGCAGCATTGTATGTTTTGAACGCTGCTCACAGAACTTATCATAAAGATTTAGTAACACATAACAAAGATGACTCAAAGGGCTTGTTCACTGTCATCAAACCTCTGCTTAACGTTTCAAACAAACAACCAGTGATGCCATGTAACATTGATAACAGATTTTTGTGAATGACTTAGGATAATTCTTTCATTACAAGGTCCTAAACATTCACAGTGAAATTCAAACTAGCATAGGTTTGATGGATAGAATGGATACTGATTCATCAAGTCTTGTTCCAGTACCTGATGGTATCAAGTTTGATAAGTTTAGACTTTTATCTGAACAGGAAGTAGGGAAACTTGTGATGAAGCTCAGCAAGAAGTCTTGCTCTGCTGATGCGATTCCAACAAAGATTATCATGCAATATATTGATTGTATACTACCTGTGTTCACATCCGTGATCAATGCATGTCTCCTTGTCTACGGGCCACTTTCCTAAAGAATGGAAAGTCGCACCTGTTTCACCATTGTTGAAAAAACCAGGGCTTGATGTTGAATTTAGTAATCTTAGACCCATAAGTAACCTACAATACATTTCTAAACTGGTAGAAGGTACGTGCAGCCACACAACATATTTTACAGTTTATTAACAGTAATTCACTCCTTCCATCCAATCAGTCTGCATATAGACGATTTCAGAGTACAGAAAGGGCACTATTCAGGATCAAGAGCAATATTCTGATTGCAATGGACATACAGAAAATCACCTTCCTGTTATTACTTGACTTGAGTAGTGCCTTTGAAACTATTGAGCATTCCAGATTACTAGATACTTTAAAGATATGTTGCGGTATCGATGGTTGCTCTCGGCTGGATCGAGTCATATTTGTCTGATCGACATCAAAAAGTTAAAGTTAATGGCATTGTCTCTGACTCTTTCCATGTGCCCTTTGGTGTGCCACAGGGCTCTCGGCTTGGCCCTTTGCTTTGTATGTTGTACACAAGTACTCTAATCAAGAGCACTCAGGATAATTTTCCTGAAGTCTCTTGTCACTGCTATGCAGACGACACGCAATTATTTATATCCTTTAGACTATCCCCTAGTACTCAAGATGCAAGTGTTTCAATGTTCGAAAAGTGTGTTGATTTTATTCATAGATGGATGCTTCATAATAATCTTAAGCTAAACGATAGTAAAAGTGAGTTTTTGGTTTATAGGAACTCCTCAACAGATCTGAAAAATAAGCATTGACGGTGTAAAATTTGGATCCTCCAATTAGTATGGAATTTAGGAGTATACTTTGACACTAATTTGAACATGGAAGCACATGTTAAAATATATGCAAATCAACATACTATCTTCTGTAAAATCTCAGACGTATCCGCAAATATTTTGATCAAGAAAGTATGAAATCGGTTGTACATGCTCTTATCACAAGTAAGCTTTATTATTGTAACGGGTTGATGTTTGGAATGCCTGATTCTCTGATAGCTAAGTTACAAAGAGTCCAAAGTGCATGTTCAAGACTTGTATATCGTCGGTCGAAATTCACTTCAACCGCACCTCTTCTGAGAGAAATCACCTGGTTGCCAGTCCGTCACAGAATCTCATTTCAAATATTGTTAATTGTCAGTTGATAAATTATTGTTTCAGATTCCCCATGGCAAAACTAAAGTAACTCTCGGGGACCGTGCTTTTGCTATTGCTACCCCTAAACTATGGAATAGCTTGCCAATAGAAATACAAAGCACTCCATCTCTCAATGTTGCAAATCTAATTAAAAAACTTATTTGTTCAATTGAGAGATCTTATTTGTAGAACTTAGTAAAAAAGAGCTCTTAAGTAGTGCGGCTGAATATATTTTGAATAAAAGCTGCGCTATATGAATTTATTATTAATATTATTAAGACAGACCTCCTTTTGAATTTGTATTAATTGAAAGACGTTTAGATAAGATTTAAACATAATCATATCGTGGACCACATTAATTATTATTTGTATTGCACAATATATCATGACATTTGTATAGATTTCATGGATCTATACAAGACAGTGGTTAAAAGGTTTTATAACAATTTTTAAACGTGTTGATAATTGTGTGGCTATCGAAGCTAACCTGGTCTTTATATAATATTTATACATTCATGCATGTGTTTTTGATTTACTTTAAAACGCCGTTTGTGAATATTATTGAAGATCACTCACAGCAATGTCTAACAGGAGATTTCCGAAAAGAAAAGGCATGGTTGTTCTCCCCTGTTTTTAAATCCTTCTTCATTATTGCAGATAACTTTCATTGCCATAAGGGGTCGTGTAGCTCCTCAGTTCAGTGTAGGCTACATTCAAATATGTGAAACAACATATATATGTAAGTATTTGAAAGATACATTACACTAGAAGTATAGGTGCACGTAATGCCACAAAGTTTAATCTACAAAAGATCTAACTTGTTATGAATCTAAAGAGAACGACTGAATTAATAAAACCCCATTTAAATACATCGTAATAGAGATGTGATTCTAACACGATAGGAAATACTTTCAAGAAACAAACTAAAGTGCAATGTCAGTAGTCAGTACCCTTTTTCATTGCCTTTTGAAACCCTGTCCGGATTACGTATAATATCTATTTCATGTTCGCACGACCATGTCAATATGACGCCCATCGCAAACTTCACGATCCTCCTGCGATCGATTTTCTAGGTAATTATAATTATATCAGATATGGAAGTCTAAGCTAATATCATTTTCCTGATCTAATTTTTGAATAATATTGATAATGCTAACAACAGGAATTTTAGTGCATTTCATTTTACTACTAAGATTCACAGCCAATTCGGCTTCAAAATATATATAATCGGCACACTGGTCTGACGTCACTGTGTGCCACGATTTAGCCACTTCTCCTCAGAGGAAGCATGAACTCGCTTGGAAGTTACATTTTATTAATCATATGACTATTCAGATTCACGGTAATCAAGATTTTACACGTTTGAATGTCCATATGAAATGCTGCTGCAATTAATCAAAAATCGGATCATACAATATGATCTAATTTGTGAATAATATTGATAATGCTAACAACAGGATTTTAGTGCATTTAATTTTTCTACTAAGATTTACAGCCAATTCGGCTTCAAAATACATATTTGCTTTACTGTTCTGACGTCACTGCGACTTTAAGCCGATTTAGCCACCCTTCCTCCGAGGAAGCATTAAGTCCCTTGGAGGTTCAGATAATCGGTCATTAAGATTTTACATGTTTGAATGTCCATATGAAATGCTACTGCAATTAATCAAAAATCGGATCATAGTAAGATCATATAGACAATGGGCTTTAATTAAATCGTCTCAGGTTCATTTCTTTAAATAGTCATTGCGATCTTATTCAATGTACTCCATTTTCAAATTAAACAGATCCGCTTGTAACAAAACAGCCATCAACTGAATCATTCACTTCGACCACTTTAACCACTTCCTTAGAAGGTAAGTGTCATTTTCATTATTATAATATATCTAACATCTCAGATTTCACTAGGTTCCTTTATATTTCACCCCAATTTTGTTCCATGTACCTTGGATATATAATACTCGGTATGATTTTTCTTTGCCAAGTGACTAAAAAGAAGAGGTAGGATTCTTCACTCAGTTCAAGTCAATTAAATTCAACTCTATTCAATTTCGTCATCATCGGAGCTTTTATTTGCCAGGGGCCTTTTGTAATGTATATTTTAATACTAACAATAACAATTATAATAATCATATCGATAATAATAATATTATTTTTCTTTCTTCATTTAACACAAAGTAGGAAACATAATGTGATCATAAAAGAGAAATCTGTTTATATGATCGCAACTAGACGTGTTTAATTGGGTTATAATTGATACATCCTGGTAATTCGTATTAAAAAAGTAGAACATGAGGCAAGGTAAATTAAACCATTATCATAAAGATGATGATACTAATAATGATGATAGAAATAACAAATGATTATGATAAGGATTTGTAAAGTGCCGTTTATTTAACATTTTTATTCCGAGGCACAAAAGAAGAAAAAAAAGGTGTGCATGGTGGAAGAAGAAGAGTCATATGAAATGCTACTGTAAATTATTCCAAAAATCATAATCAAGTCAGATCTTATAGTGTCCGGTGGGCTTCGGGCTAATGAAATTGTCTCAGGTTCATTTCTTGAAAGTCACTGCGATCTTATCCAATGTTCTCCCTCTTCAAAACACAGTTTCATCTGTAACACAACCATCAACTGAATCAACTAGCACTAACTTCCAGTCCAAATCACACTCACCTACTAGCTCGACATGTAATTCAACCACTTCCTTTAATAGAATGTAAATGTCATTTTCATAATTAGTATATAATTATCTGACTATTCTCCCTCGCTTTGCTTTCACGTGACTAGAAAGAAGATGTAGGATTCTTCACTCACTTAAAGTCAAATCAATTTCGTTATTCTCGGAGCTTACATTGGCCAGCGGCCTTTTGTGGCAATACAATATGATAAGAATAATAATAAATAAGCTTTCATTTAACGTAAAGGGGTGGCAAACATATGTGATTATATATTTTGTCTTTATTTTTTATTGTCTTCTACATTTGTAAAGCCCATTGGTATTACCTTCGGTAATTAAATGCGCTATATAAGAGCTAACTATTATTATTATTATTGTTATTGTTTGTTAATCACGTTATATACACTATCGCAACTAGACGTTTTTAATTGGGTTATAATTGATACCTCCGGGTATTTCATATAATAAAGTAAGGCAAGGTAAACGTACTGAGCATCCATTCATTATAATAATGATGATGATTTTTATATTGCCGTTTATTTAAACCTTAAATTCCAAGGCGAGCAAGGAAAAATAGATGTGAAAGAAGAAGGAGAGTCGGAATTTACGGTGCCATACACTCTTAAAAAAAAAAAACGACCACAACGTGGTCATTTTTAACCACGTCACCGGGGCCAACTATGCACCTACTACAACCATGGTCATTTTGACTATGTTTGCCGTGGTCATTTGAAATGACACCGTATCGTGGTTAAAAAATGACCCAAACGTGGTCAATTTATGACCCCGTTTCCGTGGTCAAAACAACACGTGGACGTGGTCATTACGTGGTTATTTCATGACGTGGTTAAATTAATGATATTATCTGAACATCACCATTCTTCTATTCTCTTTCACGCATCAGGTCACTTTTGACAACCAACCAAACGACAAGTTATGGAGTGCAATGAATTTTCGGCTCAAATAAGTTGAATTTTATTCATATTTCAGAAAACAGTCAATTCGAAAATCAGGAAATGTAACATTTATACAATAATTTACATTAAATGTTTCATGTAGTTTGACCATATTGGTATATAGAATGTGCGATACTCTTATTTTCATATTTTGACCTAAATGAGACCAATAAATATAATTCCCTATTTTCTATATTTTTATTATTATTTTTTTTCTTCTAACAGACTGGATGATTCTCGGCTGAAGATAATGAAGATATCACTATCAATTGATCATAATTTAAAACTTGAAATAAAAATGGTTCTAGTATACTTCATATGACTGTGCCGAGTGTGCTTGTTTTAGCATGTTTGCCACAAAGGCGCGTTCACTGGACCATTTTTGATACATGCGCTATATCAAGCGCTCCTATGCTCAAATTTAATCCAACAATTGATTTTGCACCATGGACTAAAATAAACCACCTTTTTGTGAATCACCCACATAGTTTGTATTTAGTGCAGAGGTTAAATGTACAATACAATTTAACAGATCATACATGTAGTTTAGGTTTCACAGTTCAAATCTATACTTCTTAATTTCTTATGGTGAAAATGCAACTTTTTTTTTTTTTTGGGGGGGGGGGGGTGTTTTTTTGTTTGCGGATAGTATATATTATTCCAAATTCCTACTCTCAATATAAGGTTTGTAGCCTTCAAATGAAGGAATTGTTTCTCGAAATAAAAAAAGTAACTACAATATTTAAGAGTGAGCAATAAAAGTGTAAATAATTCATCATTCTCATAACCAAACACATTCGTAAACATTGCAGGATTATAAATCAACTCGCATCCTTGCTTCCCATATATGCACACATGAGCCAAGTATGAAGTTGAGCTGTTCAATGTTTCAGAACAATGAACAGGGGATGGATGGGCAGACAACCTGAAAGTTACATGCCTCTAGCTGGCACCCTCCATCTGTAATTGGCACATTTATAAACAATTATAATATTATTCAAGACATATCACAGTATTTCCAGAAACAACAGCTGCTTATACAGTCAAAATGAACCTTTTCACATAGACCTGCTATGTCAAACTATATACAGCAAGAGGGAAGCATTAGAATACATGAAAATTGTCTCATGCACAAACTTTGAAATTCTTTAGAATTTATATTTTCCTATGATAAAGAACAATGGCAGTTTAACCCCTCTACAACATAATACAGTGGAACCCCGTTATAAAGAGCTCGGATACAACGAAACCCTCTTATTACAAGGTGATTTTACTGGTCCCAGCTCTTTATAGTTCTTCCCCCCCCCCCTGATATAACGAAGAACCTGATACATCAAGCTAATTTTCATGGTCCCAAGGACCTCGTTATAAAGAGGTTCCACTGTAAATAAACGTGAAAACCGATTTTACTTTGACCTATTTTTAAGGCCTAGCACCTTCAAATCACGGCCTTGGAACATGTGAACACCACACATTTTTTCTGAACATAGAGTCAAGGGTTATGAATATGAAGAATTTTAGCTTTCAATTTTGGCGTCGAAAATGTCAAAGAAGTGGGTCACTTTGATGCTTCTCCCATATGGTTACAGTTGTATTCTGTCTACAATCTTATGACCATTTCCCATGTCACGCGTTTTGTTGTCCATTCTTCATCATGCAGTTTTAGAAGAGACAATGACAAGTTACATTGTAAATAAAAACATTCTGTTCACGGATTACAATATAAGCCCGGGGGGGGGGGGGGCACTCGAATTATATTTTGACAGGGGTGTGTGCCTCACGGAACTCTGAAAAGGGGGTCTGAAGAGCGGGCGTGAAAAAGGGGTTCTTTTAAGCGGCACATACCCGTTTCCACATTATACATGAGTGCCCCCCCCCGGGATATAATCATTCAGTTTATAAAAACATCAAATCAGAAATACATGTAGCTTGCTTACATGTTTTCTTGTCCCCATTTAATAGACAAGATATCATTATGTCACACTGTACAGAAATAAAAACAAAACAATGGTGTGTTCAGATATGATGCCACTTTGTCCCACATTTTTTTGTGGACAGGTATAGTGGTTTCAGGGTAACAAGAAAATGTACAGGTAGCTTAGGCAGGCCATATGTTGGTTTGCTGTTTGGCTGAAAAAAAATAAGCACTGGGTCAGATTTATTTTAAAAATTGGCACAAGTTTTGGCAAAAATTCTGCTTTGTTTTGGCTTGGTGCATTGATGCCTTTTCATGAGGTCGCAGCACAGAGTCTCATCAGATCTGAACAAACTTAAAATAGAGCATAACCCGATACAGAGTGTATCAGAAAGAAAAAAAACTTTACACTTTTGAAAAGTCTGTAATGGAGATTTGTTCATGTTTATAGATGCATGCTCAATAATCTCATCTATCAAGTGCCACTAACGAAATTAATTTCATTCACGCTTGGGTGAACATCGACTGAAAATATTGTTGTTTCACACCACTGAAACTTTGCAAAATAGAAATGGGTAATTCCGTGAAGTTGGGGCACAAAGTGTGACATTTAAGCATAACTCAATACTAATTATGCTTTACATGTATTGTTTATAGGTTTTACATTTGTATTGAGACCATATATTTTCCTGGAAATTTTTGTGCCATTCAGACTCAATTTTGATGAAGTTATTAAACGATATTTAACAGTGTCCTGTAGCATCGTGACGTGTCCATGTACATCGTGACGTGTCCATGTAGCATCGTGATAGTTAAAATCTGGTCCTAAAAGACAAATTAATGCAATTAGCTTGACCAAAATTTGATATAATATGCATAATTACTAGATTAGACAGATAGCTGTTTGATGATTGATTTTTGGTTTATAAGTTCCCTCGGTTAATAAACACGTTACATTGGTGGCAGCGGTGGATAATGGATATGCTATATTTTCACACGTAATCGGGAGTGAGTTTTTTTCCCGCACCCCTGTACATCTACTATATCTTACCTCGTAGTCCAGCCTTTCTTCGCCGTCGCATAGCGTAGGTTATTGGTTGGCTACATATAGTTATTGTACATTATATTGCTGGAGACGACAGTCTACTTACCTGTTCCGATGAATTACCCGAGATTTTTACCGGAAAGGTGGGAGAAAATTTTGCCAGTGGGCAAAGCGTCTGAAAGTTGCAGCCGAATTGACCCTAGTACAGAGAGTCGTTTGCATGTCCTCCTTCCTTCTCGCCTGGCTGGATCAGCTTTTCGGTGTGGGAGAATCTTCCTTCTCAACAAAGGCAAGTTTTGTAGAGAGTGGGAGAGCGCTTTCTGGTGTTTTTGGAAAAAGAGTGACATAGCCGCATTCCAGTCATGCATTACCGCCAGGACTAGGCAAGATGATGAACCTTTAGAGTTTATGCAGCCGCTATCGCGAGTTTAGTACAAGACGCCTTCCCTGAGTATGGGAAAAGGGCTCAAGAGGGAGAGAATGGTCCGTAGATTTGTTGCCGGTCTAAGTGATTTCCTCCGAATTCGCATCGATGAGCTTGGAGTCTCAACCTTAAAGGAGGCCCTAGATTTTGCTCTTCAGATTGAA